CTGAGTAAGAATTGGCAAAAGCCAATGAGAAATCCCGAACATGAGGAGCTCTAAGAGCATTAAAAACAACCACTATTTGTCCTTTACATATTAATACATTATTGAGATAATATTCTCCACTTTATGTCACCTCAATGAAGCAAATTATGCTATGTGAGGGGTTTATCTAGGCGGAAATGCCGTGCGAATATTTTACTGTCTAGTTCTTCAGTAAACTTGGGATTACGATCCCAACAGAGCCTCTCTTGATCAAAGAAGAAACTCAATTCATTTTCTAGCAGCAATGCAAAAAGATAGATATGCAGATAACACTATCTTTAACGCCTTGCTAATGCTTCCTATCTTTAATGCCTTGCTGATGCTTCCTATCTTTAATGCCTTGCTGATGCTTACTATCTTTAATGCCTTGCTGATGCTTCCTATCTTTAATGCCTTGCTGATGCTTCCTATCTTTAACGCCTTGCTGAAAGCTTCCTATCTCAACAAATCTTTGCTGAGGACCATATCTTTACCCCACTGGAGGGAGTCCTGTCAGAAATATTTGAAGACTTTCATGATTTCAACTTAATGGAGTCGTCCTTTTCACAGTGGCCGAACTGCTGGCGACAGGTGGACGCTTCTGCCTCGTGTTTCAACAGTGTCTGTAGTGGCGTCACCAGACCAATAGTGTTTTAAAATTTATTCAATAATTATAGAAAAAAATGTCAGATAATGTGACCCCGATACTGTTATAGGCCATTCTAATACAACTGAATGTGACACTTCGCACTCCGTAATTTGGTAATCAATTTTAATGTTATTTGTATAGGATTGATGATGAGATATGTTGCGGAATTGATGCAAAATATAAATGTGCTGTTAATCCTAATGATAATTGGCTTATCCAGGACGAAGCAACAAGACATGAGTTTTATTATATAGATATGTGTTTTTCAACTACCTAGGTGGAATTTCTGGGGTTGTGGGGGTTCGTGTGTGTGTGTGTGTGTGTGTGTGTGTGTGTGTGTGTGTGTGTGTGTGTGTGTGTGTGTGTGTGTGTGTGTGTGTGTTTGTACTCACCTAGTTGTGCTTGCGGGGATTGAGCTCTGGCTCTTTGGTCCCGCCTCTCAATCGTCAATCAACTGGTGTACAGATTCCTGAGCCTACTGGGCTCAATCATATCTATATTTGAATCTGTGTATGGAGTCAGCCTCCACCACATCACTGCCTAATGCATTCCACCTGTTAACTACTCTGACACTGAAAAAGTTCTTTCTTACGTCCCTGTGGCTCATTTGGGTATTCAGTCTCCACCTGTGTCCCCTTGTTCGCGTACCACCAGTGTTAAAAAGTTTATCCTTATCTACCCTGTCAATTCCTCTGAGAATTTTGTAGGTAGTGATCATGTCTTCCCTTACTCTTTTGTCTTCCAATGTCGTGAGGTGCATTTCACGCAGCCTTTCCTCGTAACTCATGCCACTTAGTTCTGGGAACTAGCCTAGTGGCATACCTCTGAAATTTTTCCAGCTTCGTCGTGTGCTTGACAAGGTACGTGTGTGTGTGTGTATGTGTGTGTGTGTGTGTGTGTGTGTGTGTGTGTGTGTGTGTGTGTGTGTGTGTGTGTGTGTGTGTGTGTGTGTGTGTGTGTGTGTGTGTGTGTGTGTGTGTGTGTGTGTGTGTGTGTGTGTGTGTGTGTGTGTGTGTGTGTGTGTGTGTATGTATGTGTCTAAAACTGGTAAACTCGCCTGTATTACAAGGCGACAGAGAGCTGTGTTTAGCTATTTATTATGTGCTCTCAAAATTGAAACACGGTTCACAGAGTAAAGATCACGTTGATCGGGCTATTTAATAGGCAGTAACATTCAAGTGTTTATTTTTCTCTGTTGGGGATGTGTTATGTTTACACTTTTTTGTGTCAAAGACTATTTCTTCCCATTTGTTTTCTGTCGCTTAAACCGTGACGCAGTTGGGTTGTTGATCCTGCTCCGTCTACCCCGACGCAGCTGGGTTGTTGATCCTGCTCCGTCTACCCCGACGCAGCTGGGTTGTTCATCCTGCCCTGTCTACCCCGACGCAGCTGGGTTGTTCATCCTGCCCCGTCTACCCCGACGCAGCTGGGTTGTTCATCCTGCCCTGTCTACCCCGACGCAGCTGGGTTGTTCATCCTGCCCCGTCTACCCCGACGCAGCTGGGTTGTTCATCCTGTCCCGTCTACCCAAACGCAGACGTACTTAATGAACCGAGCGTTAAATAAGTAGATTAACGTTTCCCAAATCGTAAAAAGAAAACTTTCGTTATCTTGCGGGTACAAGAGGGGAAAATCTCTTTGTGGATGCCATCAAAGACCTGAAAGTCAAAACATGTGAGATATTAAGTGAAAACTTCACACCTGGTTGAAAGTAGTATTTCTAAGAGACAATGTCTCTCTGTAGTTGGGACCCATAGGAGACCTGCACAATTCTGACCTTGGTTATCAAAATTTTTCACTGAGGACATGCTCAAGATATAGTTTTATAGTCCGTTTTCGGACTGATTGCTGCAATTTTATACCTTGAAGACTCTCCATTTCTACCTCCGAAGAAGTAATATATATACTGGCGAATCATCTCTTTTTCTCATAAGGGCAGCACTCGTCCACCAAACAGCATTATAATAATAATAATAATAATAATAATAATAATAATAATAATAATAATAATAATTTATTTAGGAACAGTACATACATAGTTGCAGAGTTACAGTACAAACATTCTGTTAGATTTAAAGATAGAGGTAGTACATACAATACCTAAAGCCACTAGTACGCATAGCGTTTCAGGCAAAGTGAATTAGTTTTTTTTTTTTATCAGGCACTCGCTTATCACCGGTCTTGCTCCAAATATCAACTCGAGTGTATAAAATACAACTTAAGAATGAGCGATGCGTATAATGGGGGTTGGGGATGGTTGTATAAAATTAAATCACGTTGGATCATTGCTTCAAAGGCATGGTTTGCCGAGAAGCAACATAACTGCTTACAAGTGGGATCCCAGTTCCTCGAACTGTATTCATGTGAAATCCCAGTTACATAAGCTGTGTGTTCAAGGGGATCCCAGTTACTTGAGCTGTATGTTCAAGGGGATCCCAGTTACATAAGCTGTGTGTTCAAGGGGATCCCAGTTACATAAGCTGTGTGTTCAAGGGGATCCCAGTTACATAAGCTGTGTGTTCAAGGGGATCCCAGTTACATAAGCTGTGTGTTCAAGGGGATCCCAGTTACTTGAGCTGTGTGTTCAAGGGGATCCCAGTTACATAAGCTGTGTGTTCAAGGGGATCCCACTTACATAAGCTGTGTGTTCAAGGGGATCCCAGTTACTTGAGCTGTGTGTTCAAGGGGATCCCAGTTACTTGAGCTGTGTGTTCAAGGGGATCCCAGTTACTTGAGCTGTGTGTTCAAGGGGATCCCAGTTACTTGAGCTGTGTGTTCAAGGGGATCCCAGTTACATAAGCTGTGTGTTCAAGGGGATCCCAGTTACATAAGCTGTGTGTTCAAGGGGATCCCAGTTACTTGAGCTGTGTGTTCAAGGGGATCCCAGTTACATAAGCTGTGTGTTCAAGGGGATCCCAGTTACATAAGCTGTGTGTTCAAGGGGATCCCAGTTACATAAGCTGTGTGTTCAAGGGGATCCCAGTTACTTGAGCTGTATATTCAAGTGGTATCCCAGTTTCTTTAGACGTCAATATATGATCCATAAGTCGTGTAATAACAGGCTAATCAAATTACTTTAAGCCCAAATTGAAAACAATTATAACTTTAAAGAACTTTAAATCTATATCTAAAGATAATTAAATATTAATATAAATTGTCTTAATACACTAAAACTAGTCTAAAAGGTTATACATAATATATCCCAAAAATATCTCTGTTAAAAACTTTCAAGTCCGATTTCATTTAAAGATAACAATACCAATATTTATTTTATGAATTCTTTCATCCCTTTTTATTCGTAATTTATAATGTGATAGTTTCCCGTTCAGCAGCCTTATCTAACAACCGGTACATGCCTCTGAGAGCATATAGAGATCAGCCTCTATGCATATGGTCATTAACCCGTGAAGAATGGACATTTTCCAATTAAAATTGTCGAGTTGACGACAAGCAAAAGATGAGAAACTATTAGGGCAATTGAATAGACTTGAACACGCGTCACTGGACTGCTCCAGACACAAGCCGGAGAATGTGATGAGTTCAGGGTTGAGTGAGGACTTTTATGACTAATATGCAGTATGGAAGGAATGCAATGACAGTTTTTTATATCCAGTGAATGACGTTCTAGAGGAATCAGTTAACGAAAAAGGACGGGAAGAAAAAGAGGAATGGAGCTGAGAATTATTGCACGAAGAAAAAAGGGCACCAGGGACGTGGCAGGGGATAAAAGGGCAGGTGTGCATTTTCGTTTAACCGCTCCTGTGCCAAGTGAGTCCACTACGGGCTCACCATAGCCCGTGCTACTTGCCCCGCTCCTGTGCCAGGTAAGTCCACTACGGGCTCACAATAGCCCGTGCTACTTGCCCCGCTCCTGTGCCAGGTAAGTCCACTACGGGCTCACCATAGCCCGTGCTACTTGCCCCGCTCCTGTGCCAGGTAAGTCCACTACGGGCTCACCATAGCCCGTGCTACTTGCCCCGCTCCTGTGCCAGGTAAGTTACGGGCTCACCATAGCCCGTGCTACTTGGAACTTGTTCCGAGTAGCTGAATCTATAACAACAACATCTTCGTTTTCTGCATAGTGAAAAAACAAGGCTCCGAGAAAGGCCTATTTAACCCATTTTCTTTGCCTGACAACAGATCTCTCTGGATCTAAACACCATTCAGCCCTCGAGTAAGCGTGGCCGTGGAGGAGGTAGTGTAGGAGGTATAGACCATTTAGGGTCATTACCGAGGTGGGTCGTTGATGGGGGATGGGGATGGGGAGGGGTGGAGGTCGGAGCTACATTAACATTCATGGCGCACCTTCCTCCAACACCTCGCACGCTACTTTTTACACCCAAATTTGAATATTACATATGGCTTGTTGCTCTGTGAGATTAATCGGGGAACTGGTCCTTGCTGCCTCCAGCTCACTCTCAGAATCTGATTTTTGTTTTTCTTTCGTAATTTTGGTTATGGAGCTTCCGGTTCTTAAAACCCTGTGGTAATGATATACATTTTCGTGTGGCCTCCAGGGGAGGAGAGGTACGTTCGTGTGGCCTCCAGGGTAGGAGAGGTACTTTCTTGTGACCCCCAGGGTAGGAGAGGTACTTTCGTGTGGCCTCCAGGGTAGGAGAGGTACTTTCTTGTGGCCTTCAGGGGAGGAGAGGTACTTTCTCGTGGCCTTCAGGGGAGGAGAGGTACTTTCGTGTGGCCTCCAGGGGAGGAGAGGTACTTTCTCGTGGCCTTCAGGGGAGGAGAGGTACTTTCTTGTGACCCCCAGGGGAGGAGAGGTACTTTCTTGTGACCCCCAGGGGAGGAGAGGTACTTTCTCGTGGCCTTCAGGGGAGGAGAGGTACTTTCTTGTGACCCCCAGGGGAGGAGAGGTACTCTCGTGTGGCCTCCAGGGGAGGAGAGGTACTTTCTTGTGGCCTCCAGGGGAGGAGAGGTACTTTCTTGTGGCCTCCAGGGGAGGAGAAGTACTTTCGTGTGGCCTCCAGGGAAGAAGTACTTTCTTGTGGCCTCCAGAGAAGGAGAGGTACTTCCGTGTGGCCACCAGGGGAGGAGAGGTACTTTCTTGTGGCCTCCAGGGGAGGAGAGGTACTTTCGTGTGTCCTCCAGGGGAGGAGAGGTACTTTCGTGTGGCCACCAGGGGAGGAGAGGTACTTTCGTGTGGCCTCCAGGGGAGGAGAGGTACTTTCGTGTGTCCTCCAGGGGAGGAGAGGTACTTTCGTGTGGCCACCAGGGGAGGAGAGGTACTTTCGTGTGGCCTCCAGGGGAGGAGAGGTACTTTCGTGTGGCCTCCAGGGTAGGAGAGGTACTTTCGTGTGTCCTCCAGGGGAGGAGAGGTACTTTCGTGTGTCCTCCAGGGGAGGAGAGGTACTTTCGTGTGTCCTCCAGGGGAGGAGAGGTACTTTCGTGTGTCCTCCAGGGGAGGAGAGGTACTTCCGTGTGGCCACCAGGGGAGGAGAGGTACTTTCTTGTGGCCTCCAGGGGAGGAGAGGTACTTTCGTGTGGCTTCCAGGGTAGGAGAGGTACTTTCGTGTGGCTTCCAGGGGAGGAGAGGTACTTTCTTGTGGCCACCAGGGTAGGAGAGGTACTTTCGTGTGGCTTCCAGGGGAGGAGAGGTACTTTCTTGTGGCCACCAGGGGAGGAGAGGTACTTTCGTGTAGCCTCCAGGGGAGGAGAAGTACTTTCTTGTGGCCTCCAGGGGAGGAGAGGTACTTTCGTGTAGCCTCCAGGGGAGGAGAAGTACTTTCTTGTGGCCTCCAGGGGGAGGAGAGGTACTTTCATGAGTACTGCAGGAAAGTAGGTATTTTCGTTTTTGCTCTGTTAAATGAAGGAGTGTTTGAGTGGGCTTCGTGGAAGTAGATACTTTCATGTGTGCTGCATGGCAAGATCTACTTCCATGTGTGACAGCATGACAATAGGTACATTTCGAGCTGTGTGCTGCATGGCAGGGAGTGCAATCGCAATTTTTATGATCTTGCAACATAACAAAATGTGTATCTAAATTTTCAACAATATAAACATTGGAAACAAATACGGTAATGTCCCTGGTGAACTATAATATACTCCATTTATATAATCTACTCGCTAATTATGGCAATATTGAAAATCTTCATAGATTTTTGTAAAATATGATGTCACAAAAAAAGTTTTTAAGTAACTCGATTCACTATTTGCAAAATCAATTTGATTGTGACGTTAGGTTCACCCTTTGCTGTTATAAGGTTGAATGTCAGGTAGCGTTAAGTTTTGTATTCATATATATATATATATATATATATATATATATATATATATATATATATATACATCCCAGAATGTGCCATATTCAATCTTAAAATATATGATGATAATTTATGTAAACTATATACAAAATTGTTTGTCGTTAATTCGCGTCTAACAGCCCTCCAGAGCTCAGCGTTATAATCTTGAAGGTACTTAGGTTTCGCGAAATGAAATATTACATTTAAACTCTGCATTCATTAGCGTTTAATACGTGTGGTAATTAATGTCTGAGCTTTTAAACTCTGTGGAATAAAATACGGACTTGATGTGGTTGAGGGGGTGGGAACTTCTCTTTTGGTAGGTTCCCTCTTATTGCTCCCGAGGATCAATGTCCCCGCGGTCCGGTCTCTGACCAGGCCTCCTGGTTGGTGGTCTGGTCATCCAGGCTGTTAGACGCAGCTGCTCGCAGGCTGACTGATAAATCACAGCCCGGTTGATCAGATATCCTTGTGGAGGTGTTTATCAAGTTCTTTTGGTAAGAGAACTAAAGATGTCCGACAGTCACGTTCTTTATGTTTAGAGGGACAATGTTGAAGTGTTGAGCCCCTTGATGTCGACGGAATTATCTCTCGACGAACTATTTGCATCTCTGCCTTTCAACAGGGCTATTTTACACTTCCTGCCATGCCTCCTGGTCTCATGAGATGTTATTTCTGTGTGCAGATATGGAACCAGTCCCTTTTCAAAATGTAAATTATTATCAATCTCTCCCGCCTGCGCTCTAGAGAATTCAGGTTTAATCAGTTTAAGCCATCCCAGTAATTTATATGTTCTATGGAGTGGACTTTGGCAGATAAAAATATCTTTGCCCGTTATCCTGGTCAGCAATTAATCGGGCTTTGAATGGGGTTGTTAGCCTCCAGTAATACTCGTGTCTTAACAAGTATCATCATTGGTATGACATCACTTGTAAGAAAGGTTTTTTGTTAACCAACTTGTCATTTTTCTTGCAGTTGTGACAGCTATTTTATCGTGTTCCCCCAAGTGTAAGGTCTTCCGACATGATTACTCCCAGAACTTTTCTAATGATTGTTCGCACTGTGGTGTAATTTGACTGCGTTTTACATGATCTTTCCGTTTTAATATGATCGTTTTTTTCCCATAGCGCAGGACGTGGAGAGGCTTATTGAGTAGAGGTGAAGGTGGAATGGTTGAGTGGGAGTTGTTGTTTTAGATTTAGCTACTCAGAACGAAATGTCCATGTAGCACGGGCTATGGCGAGCCCGTAAATTTTGAGTGGGAGGGGAGGGAGAAGCTTAGTGGTACAGAGGAACCGGTGGGTGAGTTGAGGTGGTTGTTGTTGTTGTTATAGATTCAGCTACTCGGAACAAGTTCCAAGTAGCACGGGCTATGGTGAACCCGTAACTTACCTGGCACAGGAGCGGGGCAAGTAGTACGGGCTATGGTGAGCCCGTAGTGGACTTACTAAAGAGTTGAGGTGGGAGGAGGGAGAGGTTTATTGTGTAGGGTAAGGTGGATGAGTTGAGGTGGGATGAGTGGGGGAGATTTGTGGAAAGGGGGAGGGATTGGGTGGGGGTGGCGAAGTGGATGAGTGAGGTTGGATAACGCGTTTCAGTTACCTGTTGTGTGAGGTGAATGTGTTAGATACGGGTGACATTAGAACATAAGAATATAAGAACAAGGTAACTGCAGAAGGTCTATTGGCCCATACGAGGCAGCTCCTATCTATAACCACCCAATCCCCATAACCACCCAATCCCAACACATTGTAACACATTGTTTGTGTTATCACTGGGTGTCGCTGGAATGTTATCCCGCGGTTGACGGTAATGAGTTAATACCGCATGACGCTGGTAACGTACGTGGTAAGTTAACACTGGAGGAAGCTAGTAAGTTATCAGAGAATGACGCCGGTAAGTTATCACTATCGTAAGAATCGTTAACTATCGCACGGAGAGTTTTCTATCCTAAATATCGTTTTCCCTGTTGTCAGTCATTCTCAAGTAGTTACAATGCGACCCATAACCCCCTCCCACCTCCCCTTCCACCCCCCTCCCCTTCCACCCCCCTCCCCCCTCCCCTTCCACCCCCCTCCCCTTTCATGGAGCATCTAATTATACTGGACAAACATCAACATGTTTTCCCTAATTATGTATTTACTTTTCTACATTATGTCTAAATCTATTTAGGTTAGATTTTTTCAACCTAATGTTTTTGTAAACTTTTTTTGTGATTTTTTTTAATAAACTCGTTTTTTAGATTTTGTAAATGAATTCAATAATTTGAATTCATTTCAAGAATTTGCAAGTTATGTGGCGTAGTGGTGAGCGCAGTCGATTCACGACCGTAACGTCCCGGGTTCGATTCCCAAGGCAAAACAGAGACAATTATAGAAGTACAACTTAGTGGACCTAAGCTAGGGACCCCCACGCACACCTGAGGGCCCCAAACTCGGGACCAGGTGTGGCGTGAGCACTTGAATGCATCTCTGAATGCATGTGGTACACGAAGAGCAGTGTTGAGCTTGTCCTCATATCCCTGGTCCGTGTCATCATATCCCAGCTCCATGTCCTCATATCCCTGGTCCGTGTCATCATATCCCAGCTCCATGTCCTCATATCCCTGGTCCGTGTCATCATATCCCAGCTCCATGTCCTCATATCCCTGGTCCGTGTCATCATATCCCAGCTCCATGTCCTCATATCCCTGGTCCGTGTCATCATATCCCAACTCCATGTCCTCATATCCCAGCCGTGTATATCCCAGCTCCATGTCTTCATATCCCCACCCGTGTCATCATATCCCAGCTCCATGTCTCATATCCCTGGTCCGTGTCATCATATCCAGCTCCATGTCCTCATATCCCTGGTCCGTGTCATCAGGCTCCATGTCCTCATATCCCTGTCCGTGTCATCATATCTTCTAGTCTGCATATCCCTGGTCCGTGTCATATCCATGTCTTCATATCCCTGGTCCGTGTCATATCCCAGCTCCATGTCCTCATATCCCAGCTCTATATGGAAGCCATATTTATAAAAGACCCACCTTAAATATGCAGAATAAAGACTTCCTTTGAACAAATCCACAAGGGCCGTGACGAGGGTCTCGGAGAGGCTGCAGGATCCAAGTAAGTTCAGTAGAACTTCTAGTTGCAATTCTTTTAACCATGTCGTAGCTCATTGATTAAGGCAGCGTTTGGGAGCTCTCGGACGTATTCGAATCCTCGTCACGGCCCTTGTGGATTCGTTCATTTGATGCATCACGCTATTGACATTTCTGTGTGATAAAGACTTCCTTGCCAACACTCAGACCCACCTACCTCACCAAACATCATTACCAGATATATAGGTTATGACGAAGCCTTATCTTAAGATACAACATGTATGGTGTTTTCTACACATGTGTAATCACCTACACGTGCGAGAACGGGTGTACACATGTATACACATGTTTCGTTATGTGTATACACATAACGAAACATTGTACCTCATGTATTCATGCTTTACGTGAAGAGGTTCCAGAGAGGAACGAAACGTTGTTGAAAATAAATTCCTTCAATAATTAAATAATTACTAGGGTTTCTTAACCATGAATTTTGGTAACTTGATTGCTCTTCTTAATGCTAATGCTAAGAAAATAGAAGAATATAAAGCTAAAGCTAACACTATAGGATCAACAACGCCAAGAATGTGGTCATAATTAACAAAATACATGTGTGTATTTATATATATATATATATATATATATATATATATATATATATATATATATATATATATATATATATATATATATATATATATATATATATATAGTAAACATCCTCTCCTTTCCCTAATTCTTTTGTGTAATGACGTGCTGGTTTATGTATTTATTTATTTATTCATTAATCTGGCTCCTGGTACACGCCCTCACTAATGTTTCCGCCAAAGTAAAAAAGTTGGGCGGACAGCGGGGCGCGGCGGCCGCCCTGTCCTCCTCCCCGCCAACATAAGCACAATGAATATATAAAATGCAACAAGGAAAAAATTCCCCCACATTTTTCCGTGCATTTAATGAAGTTTGTATGAGGTTGTTTGGCAAGCAAAGATGAACTCGAAAATTGTGTCAAATGCATATTTGCGTGTTTGGTGTGGTTTGTTGTTACTGGTAATCCAAGGGGGACCAAAAAGTTTAGTTTGTTGTATTAAGTTTGCATTGTTAATTATTGAGGTAAAACAACTCCTCCCCTGAGGATGAGGTAAATACAGTCTTCATCAATATTTTCCTCGCTTCATTTATGCCCTTATTTACGCTTCAGTTTCTGACCTGGACAGAAACCCAGACGGGTTTCTGTCCAGGTCAGAAACTTGTGCTCTACTGTTGGCAATTTTTTTTTTTTTCAAACCTCATGAATGTTCCAGATGAATTTTCTGTATACCAGGTCTGTATTATTCATTGTATGAATTGAAAATGAGGTTTATGAATATATTCTTTATTTTGATACTGTTTTTGAAGACTTTCTATTTGTGTTGGGAGCAGTATGCATATTTGAAGGAGAGTTTTTTCCTTGTCTAATATTTTTTTTTGTGCTTTACGGCTTTGATGAAATCAGGGCTACGAAATGACGCTTTCGTCAGTGCGTAT